ACCTCTCACCTCTCTCCTTATACCTTCTCCACTTGCTTATGGTGTTTGTGAGCCATTAGAGGAGTGACACTTGTGACTCTAAGCCTTCCAAAGTCAATACAAGGAGATTTGGGATTGTTATTGCTACATAACAATCAAGGTAACACTATAAACTTATTCTCATGTTAATATGATTACTTGTATGCTAGAATTAGGTTTTATAGTCTTGGATTCAAAGCATGTACAATAGAGAAACCTAGATCCAAGCATTAGGGTTTGTATGAGCACATAGGATGTCTTATGACCAAAAACCCAACAATTCATAGGGTCATGGGAAAGACTGATGTAGTTCTCCAGATGAAAGAACTTATCCAGCATACCAGGCAGAGGTTTCATATAACTTAGAGTCGGCAAAGAGTTATGTTGTAACAACCGAAAAATCCAACAAATTTAAATTTTTCAAAAACAACCCGATTTCATTAAATTATTATAAAAAGGTTTTCAATGCAAATCATTTAGTGTATTCCCAGAATCACATTAGTACAAAATCATGAGGAGCGGTACGATCACGCCTTCTCCTTGCCACAGTCTCCTGAAGAACCTGAAAAACATTAAACCACAACTGTAAGCCCGAAAGCTTAGTGAGATACCCCCAAAATACCAACCACGTATACCATACACATATCACTCTATCTCATAACGAATCACAGAACAGCCATGCATATCGGGTCTACTGTGGGACTAGTCCGCCTTGCAGGGCCTTCAGCCCACCTGGTCCACCCTCCGGGTCCAATCATGTCCCTCGAGTCTGCAGTATGATTGGTCCGCCCGCACTGGGCCTTCAACTCACCTGGTCCACTCTCTGAGTCTACAGTATGACTGGTCTGCCCGCATCGGGCCTTCATTCGGCCTGGTCCACTCTCCGAGCCTCGGCACGTCTGGTCCGCCCTCGTGGGGCCTACAGCCTATCCGGACCGCTCGTCGGGCCTTCGGAATAACCGGTCCGCCTTGGGTATCTTGGCCTACAGCACAAAGCAGGACCCGCCTCAACCCAATTCTAGTCCAAACAACTATGTGCACATAAACATACAATCACATAACAATTCATATTCAGGCAAACCGATCTAGCAGATCACATAACCCAACATACTCTAACAGGATACCGACCTAACCGGCCACTAGCATAGCATCATCCTATCTACCAGGATATTGACCTTAACCAGGTCTCTAACTAGTACCATCCTAACTACCAGGATGAAAACATATCAAAACAATAGCATAACAAATAGATACCCGGATCTCAATCCGATAAAAGGGCCGGCCTTGGTGCCTTAGACCCTGTTGATATAGTGAGGATAACTCACCTCGAAACTGCCGGCTGAAAGGATAAGATCCCGCTGCTCCGAACTCCGACACGAACTCCTCCACTGAACACCAAAACACTCAACTCAAGATATACCTTTATTTACCAAAATACCCCTGGAAGACAACTGGTCAACCCTTGGACAAGGTCAAAGTCAACCCCTGACTGACTCTACTCGCCGAATAAACCCGATGACTCGCCAAGTCCCCAAGCTCAGAACTTCCCTCAATCCGTGACCTGACTCGCCGAGTCCAACCACTTTGAGTCCACTCGCACCCAACTCACCGAGTCATCCCTTGACTCACCGATTCTCGACTCAACCAGAAAATATTGGGACTCTTCGACAAGACTCGCCGAGTCCAAGAACAGACTCGCCGAGTCTAAGGCTATCTTCAACCTACTCGCCGAGTTGTTCATCCAACTCGTCGAGTTCCAGCTCATCTTCAAGCAACTCGTCGAGTCCACCCTTGTGACTCGCCGAGTACCACCGGTCTGAATCCATACAGAAGCATTCCAGGCCATGCAATTGATCCAAAACATAGATCTAGCCTCCTACAACCCATCCATCACATAAAGTGGCAAAATTTACGTGAGTCCATGAAGATCTAGGCATAATACACATTAGGGCTAAGGTATGGGACAAGATAGCTTCACTACATACTCAATCACAGGGACTTTCAAGCATTCCAACCCTTCTCTATTCCAGATCTGAGGTAGCAACCTCAGATCTAACCTCTAGACTCCAAAACACCAATAGATGTGATCTCAACACCCCCAAAAATGAAGAATCTAGACAATAGCAACTCAAGAACGAGATATTACCTTCAAAGAATGCCCCAACAGTAATGAAACTCGAATCCAAGCAAAACCCTTTGATCCAAGCCTTTTCTCCTTCAAGATTTCTTCAACTAGCACTTCTCCAACCTCCAATTTGCCCAACAATGGTGTTCCTCCACGAAATTAGGGTTTCTGGGGCTCAAGGGGAATCAAAGAGGCTGAGGAGGAAACATAATGTTCTTTATATAGAGCTCAACCCCGAGAATTAGGGTTTTCTCCACTCAGCACCTACTCGCCGAATAGGCCACTTGACACGTGACCAAAGTCGCGACCTTACTCGCCGAGTCCATCCATGGACTCGCCGAGTTGCCCTCCAAAACTTACACTTTTAGCCCTTCAACTCTACTCTTGCTATTCCGGGATGTTACAGCTGACATGCATCAATATGAGTTGGAGTTCTAGTTCGGTGATATGGTTTTACTTAAGGTATCACCCTGGAAGGGTGTAATACACTTGAGGAAGAGGGGAAAGTTGATGCCCTGGTATATTGGGCCGTTTCGAGTGATTTCTAGGGTTGGAAGAGTAGCCTATTGACTGGATCTGCCTGAGGAGTTCAGTCTGATTCATAACACCTTTTATGTCTCTTAGGTATGAAAGTGTGTAGCTAATGATTCAGTAGTGGTTCCTTTAGATGATATTAAAGTTGATGATCACATGAACTATGTTGAGAGACTAGTGACAATTTTGGATAGGAAGATGAAGGCCTTGTGCAACAAGGTGGTATCTTTGGTCAAGGTCTAGTGGCAGCATCATAAGGGTTCCGATTGGACTTGGGAACCCGAGGAAGAGATGCGAGAGCACTACCTTGAGTTATTTGAAGCACCAGAGATCGAGGACGAAGTCTGATTCAAGTGGGGGAGAACTGTAACACCCCTGATCTAGGTATTTCCCATTTATACCCTTAGTATGAAAATTATTTGGAAATTAGTCCCTTAGCTCCTTAAGTCAAAACGAGTGTGTATGCCTAGTATACTGGGTGTACTTCAGCTTACGTCAGCAGTAAGTAGATGAGGGTCAGACCCTACTTTTTTAGGATTTGAGCCCTATTTAAACATCATTGTCTATTCAAGAGTCAAGACCTCTTCCCTCATCAGCCTCCATCTTCCAAATTACCTCTGGTTAACCTTAATTCATTGTATGAGCATTTTGAGCTTGAAAGTGTGCTTTTGGTGATCTTGAAGGAGGAAGAAAGAAGTGGAATCAACTAGGAAGCTCAAGGGATCTTGGATCAAGAAGTATCTTGCTCTCAAACATCATTTGAAGGTAAAATGTTTGGATCTTGATGCATGTTTGCTGTGTATTTTTCAAGTTCTAAGGTTTTTATGCTTTTAGTCCCATAATCTTGGTGTTCACGAGTATGGCTTACTCCAACCCATAAGGGTTGTTCTTCTAGATGTGTTTAGGTGCTTAGAACCATAAAAATGTGATCTTGGCCCGTTTCCTTTCTTCATGCATGAGATATGAGGCTTTGGGTTTGTGTATTAAGTTAGGGTTTAGTTGTTGAACCCTTTATAGCCTTCGAAAGTCATAAAGTTGGAAAATTTATGACTTTGAACCATATAGTTTAAGTTTTATGTTTCAGGTACTTCAGATGATCGGAAAAAAGTAGAGGCATCATCGTACACATTCTTCGGTGACATGTTTGGAGATGTTATGATACATTGATTTTGGAACATTTGTATTTGATCTTAGGTTCTGATGACTTTGGGTGATTCAAAAACAATGATTTATCTTTAATAAATAATGAAAATTTTTATTGTGATTTCGAGATGTTACATTGAAGAATTTGTTGAGGATTAGTTTTGACATCATCAGATAAGGGAGATTGTAACGCCAACACCAATGAAAACCCCTGTTTATCAGCGTTAGCATGGACTTCGTAATATAAATAATCTTTGTATATTAGGCGGTTATACATTGTATTTATAGAATATATATCTTATCTGTAATCTTAATGATTAGGATCAGACCTTTACATAGATAGGTATACATCCCCGAAATAGAGAGATATTAGTTATTGTAATCTTACATAACCAACCTTAGGATGAAACCTCAAGGTAATGCTTTGTTCCGTCTTTGTAACCTTACTCTCTTTATGAGAACTCTTCTTTCTGTAGGGTTCAAAGTACTACATGGATTATGGCAATGGGCCCCCTTGATGAACTGTAGGTTATTAGGCCCAAGACTTGTTTTATTCCCTATATATTGTCATGTATTATTCATAATTAGGGTTAAAAGTGAGGCAAAATGTAGCTGAAAAACATAATGAGGTTTCTTAAGTAGAGTAGATTTACATTAATCTGTTCTTATTATGTAATTTATTCCTCATGTTCATGAATAAATCGTCTGATCATTCGACATATCTTCATTATTATGTTTGTTCTTATTTTCCACATTATCTTCATCAAATCATTCTTAAGGTTTTGAACCAACACTTTCTTATTGAAATCATCTTTGTGATTATATGTGTTCTTCATTTTTTTTGTTTAGTCTTTGCTTTGTTTATTAGTTCTTTGTTATTCATATTGTGTTTCCGATCAATTCAAATCTTCACCTTCGACCCATAAATACAGTGAGAAGACTCACCTCAATCTGATGTCAAACAAACACATCACATACCCGAGCTACCTAAACGGAAACTCCCCACACTAAATAACACATCATAAACCCTAGTTAGAATTAGGTAACAGCTCCAAACACTAGTCTTGGTTCTGATTGACCTGCTTGGGTAAAATACCATTTTAACCTTACACGGCTAGGACCCACCCTATGGCGCGTAACATCCAAAAAGACCAAACTTGGACTTCTGGGGTTACGCCATATGTACCCATCCTCTATGCACCACATAGAGTCTTCTGAAGGAAAACGAGGCCAAACTAAGGTACGTGTTATGTAGCTAAGGTTACATCCTATGTCATTTAATTGTTTGCCAAGTTTCTAGTTTGAAATTATATAAACATGCGAAGGTTTTCTTATAGATCGTGCATAGGAAATTAAAAAAATAAAGGTTTTCTTATAGATCGTGAAATAATTAGATCTATGTGTCATCACTTTCTTACATCCATAAAACCCTAAAATACAATAACATAATTTAGCACAAAAGACTAAATCAACATCTAATTGTGTTCAGTGGGGAAGACCTGATATGGGTCATCAACTCAATATATATTTGGTACTAAATAGGGTAACCATATGGTACATGGAAGTCGTCTAATATATTCAACATTCACAAGGCTAATAGATGTGGTGCTGCAAAATGAACTCCATTCATTATATGTATATGAAAACGTAATTATAAATAAACATCTATATTATTATTATACAATAAATTACCCTTAACTACACGCTATAAACAAATCTATTAACATACTATATCTAATTATATAGGCAACCAATGAATAAATTCTTCCAGAAACTATTTGACGATATTCATGCTAATTCTTATCCTTCTTTGAAATAAACAACTTTTGAGGTTTTACCTGAGAATCCATTTCCTCTCCCAACATTTGCCTATTCGATTCATACATGTCTCATGCAACAATCACACAAATGTCTGCTAAAACCAACACATACATAATCAAAATGCATACAAAAACAACTAACACCTTTAATAACCTCTAAGTCTATAACATAAAAGAAAAACATACATTAACTATTTGACATCAACTTTATATATTTCCTTGGTGGGGTATGAAAACTTTATCCATGATCATTCTTCACACCTAAGTCACAATCTTTTACACCAAAGATTTGAAAATTCAACAACAAATGTAACATAAATGGCAACCATATTCATGAGAAAACTATAAGACACCTTACCCAATAAGATTGGTTACAATGAAAGATGGAAGATCAAAGGCTGCCGTTAAACGACCAAATACAACTTGTAACCGTAATCTATCGAAGAGCCTCTTACAATCGAACGACACGTTGGGAAATGAAGATTTCTCAGAGGTTGTTATTCCCAAATAGAGCTTCATTAGGCTCATCATGTGGCCTTAAAATGCGCTCTTTGCGATAAATCAACAAAAATCTTCTTAAGTTATATAGTTATAGATGATAGATTTGTGGTAGCAACTATGGATGGGTGGTGGTGGTGGTAGATGGTGGTTGCAGGGGAAGAAAATCATTACCCTAAAATGATACTTGTTCTACCAAGTTTTTGCTTGATTATATTGATATTTTGTATGTTGCACGTTTAAAAAAAATCACTAGAGGAAAAAGTGGGAGGGGACGATTGACATGAATGAAATACGGAAGATAAATATATATGGTTGGTCCATGTAAAAATCATATCCAATATTAACCATAATAAAGAAATAAGAATAAATTTATCTTAAGTCTTAAAGATGATCCTTAAACAATGTTGATAAGAGGGATAATATGAACGAGATGATCCTTAAACAATGTTGATAAGAGGGATAATATGAACGAATAGAGTTATAATGAAATAAATGGACTTATTCAAAAAGTGCAAAACCACAAGGACGAAGTTTGTAATTTACTCATTTTACTATTATTATTATGTAGAATAATAAAGTGTAGGAGGATATCAAGAAATCCAATATCTTATCCTTTTGCTAGTTCTCTGGCTCTCTCTCAAGTCTCAACCAGTCAACCTCTCCTAAAACCACCAACACAAAACATAAAAACAAAAAACAAAATAATAAGGAAGAAAAAAAAAGTGAAAATGGCAGCCATTTTTCTCTCGAATCCAAGCACCTTCCTCCCATCATCGTCATCATCTTCTTCAGCCTCACACAAACAAGCAACGAGGGGAACCAGTGTGTGCAAACCAGTGAGTAAATTACCAAATTGTCCTCCTCAAATCTCTAAGAGAAGCCTATCCATAAGCCTCACTTCACTTTTCCTCTTGTCCTTAACTGGAAATCCCAATGGTGCCAATGCAGCCATTTTAGAGCCTGATGATGATTTGGAGCTCATGGAAAGAATCAAGAAAGACAGAAAGAAGCGGATTGAAAAACAAACCGTACTTAATTCAACCAAAGACAGAGGTTAGTTTCGTCATTTACCCTTTTACTAATTTTGTTCTTCTTTAAATGAGAAAATTTCATAACTTGATTAAGCAAAGTAGTAAGTATTCTCACCAAAAATATAATCAAATGCCTTAAATGTGCTTGGATTATATCTAAAGAAAAATTAAATATCCTCCTATTTTTTCTTATTACAAAAGTGTCCTAAAATATTATTGGAAAAATAAAATTAGACTAGTGTTATGATTTTGCTATGATTTTAAATCAGTAAGAAAGAAAAATAGGAGTATATTTGATTTCTCATATCGAAATATGACACCATATGAATCATTACAAGTTACTTATTTATCTAACAAAGTCATATTATATGAAACTTTTACTGTTTTATGCAACAAAACGAATTCTTATCATATTTCAGTTTGTTACCATTTTATCAATCATTTGTAAAATTAAAGTAAATTAATTCATAAGTTGGAGACAATATGGAACCGGTGCATATATATAGGATAATGATAGTTTTATGTGTTTTGTTTCACAATAACAAGATAAGTCAATCACACGTTCCTGATATCATCTGAATTTTAGAATATATTCGCAATAATATAACACAAGGATTTTATAAATTGATTGAAAAAAACGTAACTTTGTTGCATAATGTAACCCATCGATAATGTTACAACCAAGGGTAAAAGAGTAATTTTGTATAACATTGGGATTTATGCAGAATATTTACAAGATGTTATTTACAAGCTTAGCAAAGTAGGCCAAGCCATCGAGAACAACGATCTCCCGTCTGCTGGTTCAGTCCTTGGTCAAACCCCTGATGCAGACTGGCTCAAGATGGCCAATGAAGCCCTCTCAAAGGTCCTTACTTTTTCTCCTTCTAATCTCTCTGCTTTATAGGGTTGTACATAGTGCTTTCCTAGATGTACTAGCTCTATCCAAAAGGACAAGTATATAAACCATAGAATATACATCATATTACCATAAAATACACATACTATGTTTTGACTTTCATGTAAGGTACATACAAAACAAGTTGTACATTGTTTAAACATTCACGTGAGGTATAGACAAAACAGTTTGTACCGCCTAAACACGGGACAATATGTTTTGTTTTGTCAGTGTCAAAACACTGACAAAACAAAACGGGTTATACTGTGTTTTGACTTTCATGTTGGGAATACCGACAAAACAAAACAGATTGTACTGTGTTTTGAGTTTTGAACTTCACGTCTATTAAAGAGGGACGGGGAGACTGATGTCTATAGGATAAAAATTATAATTCTTTTGTAGTAACTGAAAATATGGAATAATGTGGGACAAAGAATCGATTTTGATTTTATGTTTGCGTAAAAGACGTAAATACCCTTATTGTCCTCTTAATAACAAATATCCTTCAAAGCTTTAATGTTGTGGTTGATGTTTGGTTTTGTACAGTTGAGTTCGAGCCCTGAGGAGATGTCTGAGGTGGATGCATTCAACTCGTCGTTGACATCTTTGTATACATCAGGTACTATTGAGAATTTTACTTGTAGAGTACAACTACCAATGCATAAAAGTTGCTATCCCCTTTGAGATTATATGCATTGAATACTTGTTTATTTGTTGTAGTAACAAAGAATGACATAGAAGCATCGAAATCAGCTTTTGTGGACTCCGCAAGTGCATTTGAGAAGTGGACAACATTGACTGGTTTGGTTGGACAGCTAAAAGGCCTTTGAGCAAATTTAGGCTCCTTCCATTTTTTTTTTTTTTTTTTTTTTTTCTAATTTTGGGTTCATATGATATGAGAAGCAATTTGCTTTGCATGAATTAAATTCTTCCTTTCATTTTCATAAATTCCCAACTCAATCTTTGATTGTATTAAGATCAACTTAAACACCTATATTTGTATATCTTTTACCTTTTTCATAGCTTTCATGAATCCATAATTTACATCTTATCTTATATGAATCATGATGCTCTTGTTCATACAAACTCAAACTATGTCACGCGTATTGTATTCATTACAAAAAAGAAAAGTAAAACGCAAAAAAGGCAAAATTGCAACGATTATCAAACACAAATGGTGATAATTTGAGCAAGAAAACAAGGGAAATGCAAAAGTTAAAAGCTCATAAAAGAGTTTGCCTATTACATAACGATGATACAGGCATTAACATGGCCTCTGTAACCTAGAATAATAGCCTATAGACACACAACAAACCATACTAGAAGCTAGATATAGTCGGATGACTACTTTGTTGACGGATTTACCCTCAACAAATGTCACTTCACTTGTGTCCCTTTGATGTTGCTAAAGTTAAAAAGTTTTTCATGACTCCTAATTAAATCCTATCACAGAATACAGATTACAGAAATGTCTCTGTCAGCAATAAGATTTTCGCCAAAAGAAAGATGATAGACAAACAACACTAACTGAGAGAACAGGCGGCACCACCACCACTGCCGCCACGCCGCCACCACCATCACCGGTCACTCTATCTTTATCTCCTCCCATGAAGGCTTCTCCTCCGCCACCGGACAGCCATTCTCCGCCGCAGCACCACCACCGCCTGCTTCCACTTTAGTCACCGGAACAGCATCCTTGACAACAACCGGTTCTGGTTCTTCATTGATGGGATTGGTTGTGTTCTCCGGCGGGGGCGTTTTGGGGTTTTCAAGTGCTTCTTCATTGACCACTTTTGCAGGCTCATCCACCAGAGGCAGTTCAGGGTTTTCAGGCTTGTTGACATCTTCTGGTTTAGTTACTTCCTCCGAGGGCAATTTGGGTATTTCAGACACTTCTTCAACAACCTCTTTTACGGGCTCAGTTTCCCCGTTCTTGGTTTCAGCAGCTTTCAACTCATCCGGTTTGATTACTTCCTCAGAGGGCAATTTCGGTATTTCACAAACTTCCTCATTGACCTCTTTGACCGACTCATCCGGTTTGATTACTTCCTCCGAGGGCAATTTTGGTATTTCAGAAGCTTCCTCATTGACCTCTTTGACCGACTCATCGGGTTTGATTACTTCCTCCGAGGGCAATTTTGGTATTTCACCAACTTCCTCATTGATCTCTTTGACCGACTCACCCTCCAAATTCTTGGTTTCTGCAGCTTTCGACTCCTCATCTTCTTCTGGCTTAGTTACTTCCTCCAAGGGCAGTTTTGGTATTTCACACATTTCTTCATCCACCGCTTTTACAGTCTCGAATGCCACTTCCTCCGACAGGGGCATTTCTGGTATTTCACACTTCCCATCGCCCTCTTCTTTTGGTTTCTCATCCTCTTCTCCCTCCGCCTTTTCCAAATCCTTCATATCAACATCGTTTACAGTCTCAGCCACTTCATCTGCCAGGGGCATTTCTGGAATTTCACTTTTCTCATCATCTTTCTCAACCTTTTCAGAATCCTTCATTTCAACATCTTCTACTTCTTCTTTCTTGCCTTTCTTGGAAGAGGTTGACTTTCTAGGGCGTTTGTTGACCGGTTCAGGATCTGGTGGTGGAGTTGACTTTTCTTTCTCACTGATTCTTGAAGACCTTCTTGGAGTCTCACCACTTCTCCAATCAAACTCAGAAATCTTGGGCCCACCAGGGTGTGATTTCAGGTACTGTTTCAGTTGCTTTGTGTTCTTGATCTCTTCCCCTGTTGGTGAAGTGAACACAACTGCATTCTTGTTTGGTGTCCCTCCTTTTGTTAGTGAAAACTACACGTTAAACCATGTGTAAGATGTCTAAAATGCCCTTCTCACAATTCAAAAATGATAAGAGAATGAAATCTTGAATGTGAACAAGATAATATTTGATTTTGATCCATAGAATTAGTAGAAAATCGGATGGAGGGATAGTAATAGTAAAAGATAGTTAGATGGATCTTTTGAGATTCAAGATCTTACCTATAATTCAACAAACGTAAAATCCCCAAATTTTAAATATACAAGAAAATCATACGTTAACAAAATTGAAGTGTAGAGTTAAGCCGATTCAAAAAATTAATGAATTACATAATTAAAGATGAAAGGGAAAAAAAAAAACCCTAATTTTGAATATGATCAAGCAAATCAATGATTAGAAAAGTTGAAGTGTACATTGGTAACCTAATTCGCAAAGTTAAGGAAACTAAGGAATTCAGGTAGTTAAGAGTTTGAAATTCCCCTAATTTAAACCCTAATTTCAAAATGTTCTCCACGCAAATCAAAGGTTCGCAAACTGAATTGTAGTGGAAACACGATTCAAAATATGTTTAAAATAACCAAGGAATATACATAACTCGAATTGGAAAACCCCTAATTTTAAATTTAAGGAATCGACCCGTATTTTCCTCAAAGAAGTCAAAGGCTGACAAAATTTTCGCATATCTAGAACTCAAATCACAAAATTAAAGAACAGTGTAAACAAAGAAGCAAACCAAATCACATAAAACAAAGCAGCGTATACAACTGATGCAAGATAGCATGAAGACGAAACTTGAAAAACATTATTTTTTTTTTCAAATGAAAGGATACCCACCAAAACCCTAGTTTCGAAAAATCAAACCAAATTTCACCCAAAACGGTTAATTTTCATACAGAGAACTAAACCGGAAACCTAATTGAAAGAATTAATAAAGAATGTAAGCAGAAAAGCAACAAAAGTTAACATGAACCATATTCAATTCAAATTGAAATGTAAAGAGAAGGAAAAGAGAAAGAACCGTTTTTTTCCAGCCCGAAGGTGCGGGGAGTTCCAAGGAAACAACGTCATCGTTTGGACCCGTGCTCGCCATTTTTAAGAACAAAAAAAACCCCTAAAAAGTTACAAAGACACAAAAAAACCAACCAACTCTATAACTGTTTGTAATCAAGAAAGATAAATGTACTAATCTCTTCACAAATCATAAACTGTAGCAAAAGGAGCCATAAAAGTATAGCGTTCTCTCTCTAAAACTTCGAAAATGATTGATAAACACTCTACCTTCGTGATTCTCTCTTTTTCTCTCTATCTCTCCCCTCTCTCTCTCTCTCTCTCTCTCTCTCTCTCTCTCTCTCTCTCTCTTCGACTTGGATTTTGTTTCACGAAATTGTAGTTCTTCAAACTGAAATCTCTCTCTTCTGAGAACGGTAAGAAGCATAAATATGTGGGAAAATATGTACTTTTGCCCCTCATCTATAATAAAGTGTATTTTATCGCCCCTGTAGCATAATGATAATTCTTTCGGTCCAATATAATGTTTGTATTTGGGATAATGTCTTAAATAGGTATATATATATATATATATATATATATATATATATATATATATATATATATATATATATATATATATATATATATATATATATATATATATATATATATATAATTTTTTTTTTTTTTTTTTTTTTTTTTTTTTAGTTTTTTTGTCAATATTTTTCCCTTCAACATATTTAACTGTACATAATAAATCCGTATGATCGACTATGCCAATATGGTAATATATTTCTTACTTTTTACACATTTGATCATTAATATGTTTTTGTTACAAAATAAGTCTTTGTTATTTTTGTATATAATCGGGTTTCGCTTATGGCCACAACGATCTCAACTGCTTGGTTGCTTAGGTCTTGTGTTTCACTTAGGTCTTCTATTCTGAACGGTATAACTTCTTCATACGATCTTGTATTTTAACGATCTTTATATCAATGTGTTCGTATTTTAGTCTATTGCAACTTTCATTTAGATCACTCCCATTAAAAATTAATATATTTTTACTTACGATCTTTATATACATGCGTTTTTTATGAATATGTATGAACGTTTTTTTTTATAAAATCGTAAGTAAAAATATATTATTTTTTTAACAGGAGTAATCTAAGCTGCTTGGTTGCTTAGGTATTGTGATTTGACTTAGTTTTTGTGTTCTAAAGGTCGTAACTTTTGATCTTAAATTTTAGCGATTTTTATATTCACACGTCCATATTTAAGTCTAATACAATTTTCGTTTATATTACTCCCGTTAAAATGAAATATGTTTTTACTTATGATATTTATATACATGTGATCTTTATGGTTGTATGTATGAACGACTTTTTATAAAAACGTAAGTAAAAATATATTACTTTTTAATGAGAGTAATCTAAACGGAAATTATAATAGACTTGATTACGAGTGTGTGGATATAATAATTGTTAAACTTTGAGATTATATGAAGAAATTACGTATTTCATAACACAAGACATAATCACTAAACAATTGACGTCGTAATGGTCATAAGCATGAACAACCTCGGACACCTTATTAATGACTGCCCTATATAGGATATCTTGAGAAAAACTTAAAGAAACTGGACATAAGTGCTGAATGCGTACAAAAATAACAATGAATTATTTTTGCAACAAAAAAATATTAAGGACTAAATATGCAAATATATATATATATATATATATATATATATATATATATATATATATATATATATATATATATATATATATAAAGAACTAAATGTATATAAAGTGAGAAATATATTACACTATTAAATCATTTTTCTGTTTACCTGGAGTGACCACCGGCCATAAGGACTGAATATATATAATTAAACAAGTTAAAGGGGCAAATGTAGACAAAAAATTCAGTTACCAAATGTATAAAAATCGAAAAGTATATTACCTTAAAATCATTATCTCAAAATATAAATATTAAACCAAATAAAAAAAAAAGCAATTAATAACTACAAAGGAATAAAACTAACAAATAAATTAAAAAACCAAAAGCTATAGAAAAAACCATCAAATCAAGTCAAATAAAATAGATATTTCTAATAATAAATCATACATCAACCATGTAAATAAAAAATATAACTAAAAGAATTTACAATGAGTGGTAAATACATCTAACAGATGACATGATGATCCCAGTCCACTGTTTGTCTCAAAACGCCCCAACCACGATATTGCTAGCATCACACATGATCTCGAATGGAATGTCCCAATTCAGTGGTTAAATGATGGGAGGGGGGATGTCAACAAGTCCTTCAAACTATAAAATGCACTTTTAGATGCATCACTAAACTCAAATTCAACCTCTTTTTGTAGAAGTTGGCACATCGACACAATGATTTTGGAAAAGTCTTTGATGAACCGTCGATAGAAACTTGCATTGCCAAGAAAAGAAGGTACTTCTCGAACATTTTTCGGGTATGGTAAATTCTTAATCACATCAATCTTGTACTTGTCCGCTTCTAAGCTTTTTTGAGACACCACATGTACAAGTATCATGCCTTTATCAACCATAAAATGACATTTTTCATAATTTAGGGGTAAGTTTGTGTCAATAAACCTTTGTAAGATTTTAGTGAGATTTTGAAAACATTCATCAAAATAATTTCCATAAACAATATAATCATCCCTGAAAAACTATATGATATTTTCAACATATTTTGAAAATATGCTCACCGTATATCTTTAAAAAGTTGTGGGTGCATTGCACAAACCAAAGGGCATGCATCTATATGCAAAGGTGCCAAAGGGACATGTAAATATGGTTTTCTCTTGGTCTTCCTTGGCAACAAAATTTTTATAAAAACCAGAAAAACCACAAAGGCAACAATAGTGAGATTTCCCGACGAATCATTCAAGCATTTGATGGATGAATGGCAAAGGGAAACAGTTGGTCATCAAAATGTTTGCTCAAGATGGTGGTTAACATATCCTGGCTTGACAACTCAAAATAATCATTTGTACATGAATTAACATCTATGAAGTTTAAGGAATTATGAAGTTTAAGGAATGAATATAACTAGGATAATGCATGGCTTCAAAGATATTTAAATTGATCACCTCACCATCGAACTCCATAGATAAATTATCATTAACTACATTTGTTTTTGTTTTTGCGGTACTCATGAAGGGTTTCCCAAAATTTTTGGAGCTCGATTATGGGGTGTTGTCATCACCCATGTCCAAGATATAAAAATCAATAGGAAATACGAGTTCATTGACTTGAACTAACATGTCCTCTAATACACAATTTGGGTGTACTAAAGATTGGTGGTAAGTTGTGTTATGACTCCGGTTTTTGTTAAAGGTCCAATTTCCATTGTTTTGTAATTCTAATAAGGTAAGAAATTAATTGATGCCCCCAGATCTAATATGACACATGGCACAAAAAGGTTACCCATTTTACAAGGTCCCATGAATACACCCGGGTCCTTGCATTTCTTAGGTATTCGTTTTTGTAGCATGGTGGACATGTTTTCACCTGCTTTTACTATTTGATTTATTTTATGTTTTTTCTTAGATGTGCATAGTTCCTTAAGGAACTTAGCATATCTAGGAATTTGTGTGATGACATTTAAAAGAGGGATGTTGATTTCAACCTTTCAGAACATTGCCATGATATCGTCATCTTTGCGCTCTCTTTTTTTGCTTGTTAGCCTTGAAGGGAATGGGGCCGGAGTGACTTTTACTTTGGTATCTATTAGCTTATTTAGCTTGGAAGTTGTTTCTTTTCATCCTCCTTAACAACTTCCTCTACCTCAATCTCATTTTTATTCCTCGTCTTCATTCAGCATGCTTAGGCCATCATAGCTTTTTCCACCTCTCAAAGTAATGGCCTTGTATTGTGTTTCAAGAGCATATATCGGTAGAATTGTAACATCCTAACTCCCAGGTATAAGATTTATGGCTTAAAACAAAAATTTCCCTTTTGAACTCCTCGAGTTGATAACCTCAACTCGACGTGTTAGAAGCTCTTCAGTCGTGCATTTTTTTGGACCAACTTGACGAGTTGGCGGCTGTTTATGAAACCATAATTTTTAGGGTGTTGCACCCTATTTAAAGACCTTATGGCCTTTGGATGGCCTCTTTGTCCGCCCCTCTATCCAGAGAAACCCTAATCCGTGCATTCTCTCCCTTTTGTGTGTGTGAGATTGAAGAGTGAGTTTTTGGTGATCTTTTGAAGGAGCTTGGATTTTGAACAGGTTTGATTGAGAAGAAGGATGTAGATCCGGTATCTTTTCTGTTGTTGCAACCATTTTGAGGTATAAAGTCGATACCTTGGTCTTTTATTGCTTAGATCTTTCCCGTTGGGAGTTTATTGTTATTTTTGGCTCATATTGGGGTCATTCTTGGATTTGGCCATTTATTGAAGTTGTCACTTTAGATCTGGATGCTTATGGCCTCTTTAGGCTTAAAGCTTCAAGCTTTATCATGTTATAGGCTCCCTTCATGCTTTAGGCCCTTGCCAGGACTTATTTGAGTGTATTAGCCTCCTTTTGTTATGCATGGACGTAAGGTTAGCAACTTTACATAGTTTTCCAGCACATAGGTTCCAGATCTGCATTGCAGAGCGTTGGAAGGGACTGAATGAGTTAAGTTGGGAAAACTCGATGATTTGTCCTGGCAACTCTACGAGTTGGCTCGAGTTTTCCCGCTATTCTGGATATTGTGGGAACTCGATGAGTTGTCTTGATAACTCAATTAGTTGACTGGAGTTTTCCCCATTTCTCTAGGTGATAAAGAAACTCGATGAGTTGGTAGATGCACTTGAATAGTTGGGTCAACATGGACTGTTGACCTTGAACAGTTAACAGACTCAATCTTAGAACGGTTAGACTCAAACGAGAGCTGCGCAATAGGACCAAATCCAGTGCTCTGAGATTATCCAGCCTGTGCCACATGTGACCTAGCATATTCACTTAGTAGCTAGCTCACAATGCTAGAAGACCCACAAAGCACAAAGCAAGCAACATTCAAACAACGGAAAACTAACCAACATATTCCAATCAAGCAACTTTATATTCACATACAACTCACAATCAGTTGACTCCTGTCAGTAATCTTATCGTAGGTTCACCCTAGGGTAATCTCTAACCCATAAAACTATCATTGAACATTCGTCCCACATACCACAACTCATGCTGTCCACATCCATCCATCATTACAGCTGGCTGCCTTATAAATGCAAATTATACACTGAATAGGATCAAATAGACTGTCGAATAACCTAGGACAACAACCAGACAAGGAATAGGAAATAAGGCCAAATCAATTATTCTAATGCTATAAGATCCTAACCGTATACAATTTTTAAAG